AAAAACTTTTGCATGTAGAATTTGCTAATCTCCAAGGTAAAATCTCTGAACAAGGCCAGTCTAGAGATACCAATGTGATATCTCTGAAAATTCTATTACGCAAAATGCACCTAATCGGGTCCCAAACACTGCGCAGAGACTGGTACACCAACATCCCCAACGTAATCACCACTACCTAAGACTGTCTGAGGTATTGGTTATTTATATTCTGTCTGTCTTCCTTCCAGGCAGAGAAAAACATCCAGCAGTGAACAAGTGCTTGGTAAACATCTGTTGCAAAGAAGTATAACTTTGGACTCAACATAGAATATGTCAAAATAATAATAATATGTAAAAATAATATGTTCACATAGAATATGTAAAATAATACTAATAAAGATACCATTTGAAATTGTTACAAGTTGTATAATCTAATACTTTGGAAATATCTCCTGAGAAAATGTGGGAAGAGGTGACTCATATATCACTTTTATAATGTACTGTATCTCTTTTACCTTCTAAAATGTCATCAAAAGTATAAATATGAATTTGAGGAAATGTGAGGTTGAGACACACAAAGAAAAAAGGAAAAAAGCAGTAAGCTTTGAATTTGTCTCATGACTAAAAGATCAATCAGGACTTCTGACTGTAAAAATAGAAAAATGTTCATTTCAAAATGAAAGAAAAATACCATTTCATATTTTATGAGTCAAATAGGCAGAAATAAAACACTAAAAGACCAGAAAAACTTCGTACTTATGAATTGTATGTATTATTGCCTATGGCAGAATCAGAGTGAAAATTAATTACTATATTTGTGATATGCAATTGATAACTGATAATGTAATACAAGTAAGACTCTACAACTAAAGAATGATTATTCAGATTTCACTTTTACTCCTTTCAAGGTTCTTTTTTCATTTCTTGTGAAGGAAAGAAAAAATAATAGGAACTGACTTTTAATATTTCCTTTTCATCTTTAATTTTCTAACATCCAACTCTGAATTAGTACCTCTTCATTTCACCCTGATCTTAGTAATTTTTAATGTAGATGCTACTGCACAATACTTTTTAGCACATATATATTTGAAAGTTTTATTTTATAATGGGCACAAAACAATTCTCACAATGATTTTTACATTTCTGATAATTACAGTTTCTGTGAGTCCTCCTCGGTGTCTTTGGGATGGATAACCAAGAATATGGTGAATGCCATTGCCAACTACCATGCAAAAGAAAGGCAAGCTCCTAAAAACACTGGTAAGTCCTCATTCATCTTAGCAGATCAGGTATTGTGTGACTTCTGACTCTTTCTCTAAGTCAAAGTGACCAGGAAGGGTGAATATTTTGAACTGATTCAGGACATCAAGGCAGCCGCAATGGTGCAACTAAAGACACTTATGAAAGAGGACTTCCAGTACTGCTTCAGCAAATGGCAAAAACTAAGGGATAATTGTGTTTGAAGTGACAGGGGATATCTTGCCGGGAATTAATAGCAATGTGTCTTTAACTGTAACACTTTTTTATTTTTTCTATTTATTTTTATTGTTACATGTTTATGATACATAAAAAGTACAGTTATTACTGGAGTTGGTACATATACATATAGAACCTTAATCCTTTTTAATTTTCCTTTCTTTTCTCACTCTCCTTTATCCTTCTGTGTCTAGATCCACTTCCTATCTGCAAAAGGTCCACCATAAAAAATTGAAAAAAATAAACAGTCATGGAATTTCTTATTAAACTTCATAAATACACTAAGAATCTGCTGCATCAACAATAGACAATTAAGTAGTTACCAAAACAAGTTTAAGGATAAAATAGGTGTAACAAGATACTCTATAACTTCAAAAAAATAGTTATTTATATTCTAATAGGCATTTTACTCATCTTTATCTAATGCTAGTTTGATAAAGCTGTGTAGATTTAAAAGCATAATGTGACATGTTGAATTAGTCAAAAATATTTGCTAATACCCAGCTTCAAAGAATTTCAGTTTGATAGTACAATTTCCTCATCGGAAACTGTGTTCATTATACTCCATTTCTAATCTAACTTAGATTTTCTTAGTATGCTAATTTTTTAGGCAAACATCCTAATTTTGTCATATAATTTAAAAACTTTCAATTAAGTGAAATAGACCTTAACTAGTTTTAAATGAACCTTCTAAAAGGAACAGATTTTATATTTCAAAGTAGGCAGTTTTATTATTAACCTGTATTTACTTAAATTGAAACCAGTATAATGATTCTTTAGTCCTTTGGCCTAAATTTCCTTCATACATTCCTTTCTTTGTATATATCTCAAGCACAAAGAAAACAAGATGAAACAATGTATATGCAGATTCTTCACATGGTATTTAATCACTAAATAATTAATCTTATATATTATGTGTGTATATGTACATACCTATATCTGGAACTCGCAAATGAAAGGTTAAAGTCGCTAAATTTTCAATAAGATAGGATCAAAAGTAGTATTTCTTAGTTTTGAAACAGAAATACCAGGTACTACTTAAACCTCTCTGAGTCTCAGTTTACTTAGCTCCAAAACTGGATGAGAATGCCCATTTTTCTAGACTAAAAAGAGAAGGAAAAAAGGAGAGGCAGGAAGGGAGGGAGAAAGGAATTGCTAACCTAGAATCCAACCTGCCATGCATAAATTACTTAATAAGTATTTACTGAATTAATTCCATCAAAATGAAGTTATCACCATACTAAACTACTGCATATCATTTAAAGAGGGTTGTGAGTGTGTAACCAAATAACTAAAATAAAGGTATAATTAGAGATAGTTTAACAATTCTGATTAATCTACAACAAAGCAACCAGTATGGAATAAGTCAGGTGCACAGACCTTGATGAAATATTGTCATTGGTACAGGACTGACCAATTACTTATGAGATCTAAGCATGGGTATATCCACCCAAGGAAAAAAAAGAGATTTAGGAAATTCTCTTACATCTTTGAGTATCTTGAAATGAAGTTACAAATTTTGTAGAAAGACATTATTCGTACTTCTGGAATACACATTTTAATATAATGGTCTATCAATCACTTTCACACTTGTAAGCTAAAGTCGTTGAACTTGCCACTATCAAAAATAATAACTGATGTATGCATAATGATTTGTTCTTCCTCTTATTTTCCTTCTTAATCCTAAAAAACAAAAATCCTACAGAGTACCACAAAGGAACAACGGATAGAATAAATTTTCAGTAAGGGAGCTCGAGACATAAGTCAGGGAGCATGCCATGAAATGTCTGGTGCTCAAGATTCATTAGGAAATAAAAATTCACAAACCCTGCCTTCATAAACTCCACACTCTGGGATTTGTATTCAAATATGTACAATTAGGCTTTTTAGACTTATGAATTAAGCCAGTAAAATACACATTTCTAAAAGAGTATGTTGTTGAAAAGTCTACATTAGTGGTCGAGGGATTTGTATGTTCTTTGCATCCTCAATTATTGAATAAGCTTTTACATTTTCTGCGAAACCTCTGATATCATTACACACAAGTGAACTTCTTTCTGTTACCTAATTCAGGAAATGTGAATAATGAGTATCAAGTAGAGTGACTGCTTCCCTCTCTGGCTTTTCAAAAGTGCTTCTGTTAGTAAGTGGTGCACTTAATTTGGCCACTTGTAAGTCAGAATTTCCTGCTTTGCCCACTATCTGCCAACTGGGGTTGAGCACTGTTCCCGAAAAGGCAGAAGGGTCATAATACATTGACCTGCAAGAACAGTGCCTAACATAGTGTTTGCTACATTCTTCAGGTGGGTTCTATGCTTGTGTGAATAAATTTATATATTCTTTACTGTTTCCAAAGCATATTCACATGTGTCATCCCACCAGAACCTCACAAAACTCAGTGAGCTTGCAATTAGTTTTCTCCTGTTACTGAATCTCTACAAGATTGAATGTTATTATTTCTCTTGTTTGACAGATGAGGAAACCTAGGATCAGTAACTGACTTTGGCCAAGCACATAATCAAGACTTCCCATTCAAGACCACAGTTCTTTTAAGATACTTAATGAAAAGAAAGTCATATCGAACTATAGTTTTAGGTGCACCTTTAGAGTCTATAAATGTGTTGTGCCCAATCATCTTTGACTTTCCCAATCACTGGTGAAATGTTACTTCTTTTCTCCCCTGTAGACAAGATGGAAAAGATATTTAGAAATCACCCATATTGCAATCAGAAGAAAATGACATCAATTATATGCAAATATTTTGCTGCAAAACAGTGTCTGCTTTTAAGGATTTATTGCTAGCCAGAACAATTCAGCTCCATCACAGGGCAGGGGTTGGGCTCAGCTCTGTGATTTCCAATCCTGCAGCTACAGCCAGCCCCCTTACGCTCATGGAAGATTTCCCTTAGCTTCTTGATCAGGAAATGAGTCCTTACTGTTTCAAGACAGTGACAGCAGCGTTTTCGTTGGGGCAAAGAAATCATAGCACTTGAAGGTTCCAGTAATTAAATCCTGATCAACTGACTCTAAAGTCAGCCTTTTAATGATCCCTCACTAGATCACAGGCCACAGGGACTATACTGAACCCCAAGGTTAGGGCCTGGCACGTGGTAGTAATAATCCTGGCTCTGTTCCTGGCATGTGCTCATCAGTAGTGGTACCTCTCCATGATCACTGGCTATAAACCAACCTGAAGCGGCGCCTAAGAAATATTTTTCAAACTTATTGATAGAAATCGATCTCCACGCTCCTTTTAAAAAGTTATATCCTATACCCCAGTCCTAAAGGGAGACTTCCTGGTGGGACTCTAGCCTTCCGACCGTTACCTTCAATACTGCTATAAACTAACATTCCAAAACTCTTCAACAGAAATTAACAGCAACTACCTTTAAGTCTCAACCACTTTTACACTTAAGGAGATGGGATTATTGGGTTGAAAATTTCTCTTCATCTGAAAAAAACCTTTGTCTCCCCACGTCCCTGCCCCACTTCCCCCTCTTCCCTGACCTGCTCTGAGCATTTCACTGAGTGCAAAGTTGACCGAAAGCCACGCGCAGCCCCCCAGCGCGCTCCCGGCCGCGCAGCGAAGTTCCAGGGCGCGGGGCCGAGTCGCTCGCGGTACCTGCTCGGCTGCGCGCGGCTCTGGAGCTCCGCCGCCGCGGAACAGTTGCGTCCCCATCTGGCTCCCAACCCACCCGCGCCTCCGTCTCCTCCACCACCACCTTGCAGCCGTCCCCGCCGCCCCCTCCTCCGCGGCTTCGCTCCCCGCCCCCGCCCCAGTCTCCTCCTCTTTTTCTCACTACGAGCGCGGCGGAGGCTGGAGCCCAGCGTCCCCCGGCTCCCGCGGCAGACATGGCGACGCTGACGGCGGTGCAGCCGCTCACCCTGGACCGAGGTGAGAGCCGCTGCGCCCCGCGCTCGGCCC